ATACTTACCATATTCCATGATTATTTCATATTTCATCTTGGACCAGGACATTAACTGTATAGCTTGAAGACTTTCTAGATAAACACGGCACATTGAATCAAAGGTCCATGTAATGAACCATTTCTTATGAATGTCATCATACATGCCCAATGAATTCATTGCTCTATCATAATTTTCCAGATGTTCAGATATGTTTCCTGAACCTCTAGAAAATTGTGGGACAGTCTCTCTAAGGAATTTGATGACCTTTGGTGTTTCATAAACAGGCGTCGTTGATTTACGATCTCTGTTTCTGTGTTTGGGTAAACGTCTATGCGATCTGTCTGCTGAAGAGGAATTAGACCCGTACAACAGTGCAGATGGCATATCAGTTACATGGCCTTCAGAGTGGACAGTGCAATCACTTTCACTCCCATCACTCTGAGCTTCTTGTTCACTGTCACAACTCTGATCTGCATCAGAATTCTGCCAGTGTACAGAACCATGTCTGTTTTCATTCCTATCACCTTGAATCTGATTCTTTCTGTCAAGCTTGGCCAGGACAGTCTTTTCAAACTGTTCTGCCCAAGATTGCCAAGAACCTACAGGTGTTTTCTCAGAATTACTCACCTCTTTTCTTAGAGACTGTTTTATGAAAACCTGGTCTGGTGTGTGAATATCAGGGAATTGAGAAGAATCACTTGGGTCTTTTCCCAGTAATTCTTCACTTCCCTTTTGATATTCATCTAGCTGCATCTGTATCTGTTTTATCTGTTCATCATAATCATCCACCATTTTGCTCATTCTTTCCAGTTTATTAAAAAGGTCAGAGTTTAGAGCCCGAAGGAGATTATTTTCATTAGACAAAGTTTTGAACCTGCTTTGTTCGAGCACCAGGTCTTTCTGACACTCGTCCAATTTACGTTCTATCTCATTATGCTTTTTTAACATAATAGAATAACCCAATATGAAAAACGGGCATGATTTGGTAACAGATCGCATTGTAGACTCTTCATCTATTTGGCTAAGATATTTAACCATAGGTGAATCAGCCGATCTATCATGAATTGAATCATCAACCTGTTTTTTTATTTGGAGTATCCACTCTGGATAATCAACTTTAATATTTAGATATTGATATATGATGCTTAAGGGAAAACCTTGCATTTCCGCTAACTTCTTCCCATTCTCTGATTGAGATGAAGCGCTAGATTCAGCCATATTTCTATACAGTGATTTAATCTCAATACAAAACTCTTTTCTATATCAAGATTAAATTGCATGAATTACACCAATATTATTATTATATATGAAATACAATTTCAACTTAAACGATCTCAGCACCGTGCCTCCAATATGTGGGGATATTTATGGGATAATAATAGTAACAGTGAGAATTGCCCACTAATTCAATTCTCAGATCCCAAAGAACGTTTATCGTGTTAAGTGGAATGTATTTCATATAATAATATCACAATGTATAAAAATAGATTTTTATTTATAATAACAAATAATTAACAAATAATATTATGTAACATGCATAACAATAATCAATGAATATCCAGTACAAAATTATATGCAATACAAAGGGATGGGTATTACGTTTCAATGGCTAACTAGCATTTTCTGTCAAGAATTCTGACGATTTATGACTAGCTTTAACACAGGCTGAAAGTGAAACTTTTCACAGCGAAGAACAGAATTCCTCAGAGTGCAGCGTAAGGTCGTAAAGTTTAGCAGACAGTTAGAATAACCCTTTCAATGCTGGCTAGATCTCCTAGGTAATTAAGATCTATTCTTATGTAAATTTTTAAATAAAATAACATTTAAACCAGTTTAAATTCATTTTCTTAAACCATCCATAAGAGAATTTACCACATTATATAAGCAGATTTTAATTTGTCTAAAAGATATCTATCTTAATTTAGAGCAAATCAATACACCTGGATAAAACAGCGGTATGCTAACACGTGATAATATCACATCAATATATAATTATTCTTAATTCCACCTGCAGAATGGAATGTTTATAACTATATATTCTTAGTTAACTAAGATTTCTTAATATGGAAATCTGACCGTGCTTTATCCAGTCATATATAATGCTATTAATACATTTTAATTAATTTAATTAAATGAAACCAGTATAATTACCAGTTGAGTAGATATTTCATCCGATTGGTAGTCTCTCTGCATGGAGGTGTTGGTTAGAAAGTCAGTAAATTCTAAGTGTTAGAGTTTTAGGAGTAGAGTGTTATTCTCAGATGTTGTCCGAGTTGGAATCCCCAAACTTCCAATTCCTCTCTTTTCTCTTTTGCATATCTTGCATGTGCCTCCTCTCGTATCTTTCTTGTCTCTCTATCTTCCCTTTGTCTTAACTTTTAAAGGGCCAGACTCTCTGTACGTCATCAGTTGATAACCCAATAGAAGCACTAGAGGTGTGGTTATCTTCCAGATCGCAAATTAGTTATTTGGTCTGTAGAGGGCAGTCTTGTCCCACTAAACATACCTATCCAGGAAAGAGTTAACTTTTCCTGGTGGCTATTTTGACGTCATTTTGCGTTATCTTTATAGCGCCATAATTTAAAATTTCAAAGGGTTTCTTAAATTTTGTCCAGACTTAGCGTCTGCAATTCCTGCCATAATTTCTGATATGACAGATCATGAACTAAGTTTACCCTTTTCCATACAATGGTACCTTATATATATAGACAGTTAAATATTAAATTATTTACTCTTCTCTGTCACAATTGTCTGGGTTTAGATTTGATTATATTCCATTAGCATTAGACAGTCTGTCCAACCCCCTTCCTTATCACTTGTTTGTATATACTATGCATTCCTCAGATCTGGGAAATTGGTTAGCTTACAGATAGAAATATAGTGTCTTTTTGTTAACTTGAAATAACAAAATGGAGTCTGGTCTGTTCAGAGTGACTCAGAATATACACTTTTAGTTTCTATCATAGCACAAAATGTCTGCCGATATAAATACTCTGACAATATCTCTCTCCGATGGTGGCCAAAGCAGTGAGGTCAATAACATACTCACACTGCACTTTGGGAGCTCTTTTTCATTAAGCCCCAAAACTGGGACATCAGAGAAAAAAAAAAAAAAAAAAACCCAGGAAGGTGCAGCACATGTCTCAAACCAGAACTGCATACCTGTCTCCACAGCGGACAGGTATGTCTTCTTCCAGAGAATCGTATAGTAATATTTAAATATTCACATTCCACTATATACATTTTACAAATATGTAAGGCCCTGTCTTACTGAACAGTCACAGTATGTGCCAGCACCATCAACATCCCAGCAGCTTGAAAATTCAGGGAGGCGATAGCGACCTTAAAAATACAGCAACCGCACTCCAGACTTCATGATCGCTTTCCAAGCAACTATTAATAAAGTGTAACTGCTGCCGCCTGACATGAATATACTTGTCATACTTAGGAGGACTTAATTGTACGTGGGGGCAATTAATTGCACTCATGACGATTCACACGTCTCCCTCCTGGTGAAAAGAGATTCTGATTATCTGAAATTTGTGCATGGCAGAGTAGAAGTGTATGTAACAGTTGGCATTCTTGACAGCTGTCACCAGTTTTACATGTAAACGAAAGAAAACTGTCTGAGACATCCTTTTTTCCGTGGCAATGAAACGCCTTAAGCCAAGAAAATAAAATACACTTAAAGACATAGGAAAGCATACAAACCAAGCTTCCTACGTACACAAAAACTAATCCCGTTTGTCTAGCAGTGTTATTTACTAAAGAGAGAATTGTATGGATTTCAAATGGAATTTTTAAATTTAAGGCCTAATTCGCTGAACTTGAAAAATTCTCAAAGTCGGCTATGCTTGCAGTGCAGCTACTGTGGCCTGAAATTGGAAATTCACATGCTTGTAAATAACCGTGTAGGTTGTCAGGGATTACAGTCAATAATAAAGACTTGAAATGGAGACTTAAACAGCGGACTTGAAAAAAATTCTCTAACTCAGCTACATCCACATTTTGTCAGTATGGTAGCTTGACTTTTAAAATTTACATTTGCTTACATTTGATGTTTAGTGGATAAACCTGCTAGTGAGAAGCCGTCAGGGCTGGACTTGTCCACTGGGATACCGGGAAATTTTCTGTTGGGGCGGCATAATATCATCCGGTGCACGGCCACCTAGTGCGAACCAGCCCGCGGGTCGCACGGCGTAATAACACAGTAACCGGCAGGAGGGGATGCGCTGAAAGAATAAAATAAATATTACTTTATTCCATATATTTATTTTTTTTTTAAATTCTTTATTTTTCGTTGTGCATGAGGTAACAAAATTCTTAAAAAGCCACAACGGCGTATGCAAGTACATTGAAAACACAAAGTTTCACGTATATGGCATGAAAGTGAAAGCACATTTTTTTTTTTTTTTTTTTTTAAGAAGAACAAGTAAAGTTAAACAGGCTATTTGCACACGTCTGCGAGAAGGTTCCCGCAGTGAAAGGATAAAGAGATTAATAAATTTGGAATGCTAGACGTGTTGAGTAGTATGCTTGATAGACTGGCTGTGCGTCTTGGGAGTATTACTCAGGCTAGGGCTTTATTTTATTTCACAAAGTCAGCTCAGTGGCAGTGAGTTAGGTGAGACTAATCTATGCATGAGCGGGTCGGAGACCAGTGGTTAATTATATTTAACGTGATACCGCAGTGTGCTGACTGGCATCAGTGTGAGACACTGCCCTGGTTATTGATTTGGCAGGTAGATTTAGACATATGAACAAAGTGCTGCTCATATAACATGGTTTACAACTTTACTTATGGTGTAACATCCTATCCATCAGCTCGTGTGTGTAGATGCTAGGTGAGAGAGCGCGTATGCTCTAGAAAACACGGTGTATAACATGAATAAAATAGACTTGTACTAAATAAGAAAAATCTAACAATGTAGAAATGGCAGGATAGCGTCCCTCATGTGTGAGATTTGCAGGTTATCTCCTCCAAGGGTCAGGGTATGACCAGTGGACCCCTGCTTAGCCTATGCCCTATAGGGGGCAGAGTCCCGTGACCAGGGTAAGCGCTGCTGGCTGTCCCGCGTACAACGGATCGGTGAGGTAGGCCTCTCGGTACCTCGATGAGAGTGTGCCTCCCGGTGTGATCTCGCTGCCGTTGCTGCTGTACAGCTGACATGGTCTGGACCAGAGTGGTGTTTGGACGGTAGCTCGCTGGATGATCCTTCAGGTGCTTTCCGTGCTGTCGCAGTGTCCCTGTGCTGGTGGAGAAGTAGCGAGGGTATGTCACAGTAGTGGCGCGCACCGTTGCTTGCTGTCTGGTGGCTACTCTTCGTGCAGGTATATTGGTGTATGCTCAGGCAGTCTGTGGTTGATATCCTGGTGCTTTTATCCGTCTTCCTTTGCGCTTGAGTGTCGGTATTCCCGCTGGGGCTTTCTTGTTTTTTGCGGCAGGAAGGTGTTTGTTAAGGTGCTGCCAGCTTGAGACCCCGGTTGCTGGCAGGAGCTGAGGGCTTTGGGGCAGCTTGTGTGTGAAGCTACCGCTCGGCTTGTACGAGGAGGGTGCCTGCAACACTTGGGTGAGTTTTCCCCAGAAGTCCTCAAAAATTCTATCAAGTGAGGTTGTTTGCAAAGCTTGGGTGCTGGTAGGTGTTGCACACATGGCGTCCGTCATATTGGTGCTGCCGTCGTGTTTCCCGCTTATGGAGGCCAGTTTGCGCTTTTGCTGGTCTCCGCTGGTTTGTCTCTTGGACCGGGATATCCCCCACCGGTCCATAGGGGGGGGTTACAGGGCTCGGTGCGGTGTTCTCCGCTGCTGTCTGGGAGATCCCCAATTTGAGGTCGGCTGCTCCCCCAGGGCTCACCAGGCCGCAGTTCGATCATCCTGTTCTCTTGGTTTTTTTTACTGCTTATGGTTAGGTGTGTCCGCTTGTTTTGAGCTCTAGTACTGCTTAAAAAGGTGAGCTGCCTTTTTGACTAGTTTTCTTGTCGGGTTTGGGCAGAAATCCTCATTCCATATATTAAAAGACATAAGAATAAAAAAATATATATACCGGTATATATAAGTTTAAGTCTCAGTTGAAAACCTCATATACTGTATATGTAGTTTTCAACTGATATTTATATAATTTTTTTTACTTATATGTTTTTTCCTAAAATAAGCTATAACTAACCTGGAAGCCAGGCTCTGTTCAGCACTCCCCATCTGACGTCACGGCAGCCATTTCTTAGAGAAGCCTTTGATTGGACCCTTTAACCAGCTAAGAAAAATGCCCAGGTTAAAAAAAAATAAAAATAAATAACAGAGGATATAGAGAGGTTGGAGGGAGGGAAGACAAATGCTTGCCCTTGTCGTCACTCCCTGAGAGGGAGAAGCGATTTACTTTAGTTGCCAGAGTTTGGGGCTGCTAAATTGAGGTATGCCGGAGGGGTGTAACTAGCCCCTGGCACAAAAAAGGCAAATAAAAGCATAAGTGATCATGGTGGTAGGAGTAACCCTTTAAATACAAAAGCGAGAGCTGAATTCAAATTCAAGGCCAAAGTAGAAGCACAGCGGAGAAAATGGCTACTTTGACCTGAAATTGGAACCCTGTAGGACTTCAGTGAATCCATCTGCATAGTGTATCTGCTAAAAGCATGTGTAAATTATCATCATAGCTCCCAGCTCTGCACTGTCTCCTCCTGGGCTTTCAATGTGTTTGTTTGTTTGTTTGTTTTGGTTTTCCTATTTATATAAAGTAATATTTTATTTATTTTTATAATGTAACCAATGCATGTTTAGTGCAGATGTAATGTATAAATAATTGGGGGGAAATGGTGTCAGTATACTGCTATACAGACAGCTCTCATTGTGTCAGACAGCACAACATTCCACTGAAAGGATCAGCGCGTTTGTGAATAGAGCTATCCGCTCTGAGTAAGTTTGTCCCAGCGGCCTGCCCGTAGCCCAGTGATGTGATCACATGACCCGCAGGAGAGCAGGCAGTATCCTGGCAGTCAGTGGGAGAGAGGATTTCCGTACAGACATGTCCTGAGAGTCACTGTGAGTGGGGACACCATAACCACCGCGGGCAGCTCTGATATGACATACAGGATTGTTACTGCTTTACTAACTATAGTGACATGGAAACAAATCCCCTAACCCACAACTAATGTATCCACCTACCTTATATAGAGACCTACCTTATATAGAGACCTGCCTTCTGTATCCACCTACCTTATATAGAGACCTACCTTATATAGAGACCTACCTTCTGTATCCACCTACCTAATATAGAGACCTGCATTATATAGAGACCTACCTTCTGTATCCACCTACCTTATAGAGAGACCTACCTTATATAGAGACCTACCTTCTGTATCCACCTACCTTATATAGAGACCTACCTTCTGTATCCACCTACCTTATATAGAGACCTACCTTCTGTATCCACCTACCTTATATAGAGACCTACCTTATATAGAGACCTACCTTCTGTATCCACCTACCTTATATAGAGACCTACCTTATATAGAGACCTACCTTCTGTATCCACCTACCTTATATAGAGACCTACCTTATATAGAGACCTACCTTCTGTATCCACCTACCTTATATAGAGACCTACCTTATATAGAGACCTACCTTATATAGAGACCTACCTTCTGTATCCACCTACCTTATATAGAGACCTACCTTATATAGAGACCTACCTTCTGTATGCACCTACCTTATATAGAGACCTACCTTCTGTATGCACCTACCTTATATAGAGACCTACCTTCTGTATGCACCTACCTTATATAGAGACCTGCCTTCTGTATCCACCTACCTTCTATAAAGACCTGCCTTCTGTATCCACCTACCTTCTATAGAGACCTACCTTCTGTATCCACCTACCTTATATAGAGACCTACCTTCTGTATCCACCTACCTTATATAGAGACCTACCTTCTGTATCCACCTACCTTCTGTATCCACCTACCTTCTGTATCCACCTACCTTCTGTATCCACCTACCTTATAGAGAGACCTACCTTATATAGAGACCTACCTTCTGTATCCACCTACCTAATATAGAGACCTGCATTATATAGAGACCTACCTTCTGTATCCACCTACCTTATATAGAGACCTACCTTATATAGAGACCTACCTTCTGTATCCACCTACCTTATATAGAGACCTACCTTATATAGAGACCTACCTTCTGTATCCACCTACCTTATATAGAGACCTACCTTATATAGAGACCTGCCTTATATAGAGACCTGCCTTCTGTATCCACCTACCTTATATAGAGACCTACCTTCTATAGAGACCTACCTTCTGTATCCACCTACCTTCTATAGAGACCTACCTTCTGTATCCACCTACCTTCTATAGAGACCTACCTTCTATATCCACCTACCTTCTATAGAGACCTACCTTCTGTATCCACCTACCTTCTATAGAGACCTACCTTCTGTATCCACCTACCTTCTATAGAGACCTACCTTCTGTATCCACCTACCTTCTATAGAGACCTACCTTCTGTATCCACCTACCTTCTATAGAGACCTACCTTCTGTATCCACCTACCTTATATAGAGACCTACCTTCTGTATCCACCTACCTTCTATAGAGACCTACCTTCTGTATCCACCTACCTTCTATAGAGACCTACCTTCTATAGAGACCTACCTTCTGTATCCACCTACCTTCTATAGAGACCTACCTTCTGTATCCACCTACCTTATATAGAGACCTACCTTCTGTATCCACCTACCTTATATAGAGACCTACCTTCTGTATCCACCTACCTTATGAGAGAGACCTACCTTCTGTATCCACCTACCTTATATAGAGACCTACCTTATATAGAGACCTGCCTTCTGTATCCACCTACCTTATATAGAGACCTACCTTATATAGAGACCTGCCTTCTGTATCCACCTACCTTATATAGAGACCTACCTTATATAGAGACCTGCCTTCCTGCCTTCTGTATCCACCTACCTTATATAGAGACCTACCTTCTATAGAGACCTACCTTCTGTATCCACCTACCTTCTATAGAGACCTACCTTCTGTATCCACCTACCTTCTATAGAGACCTACCTTCTGTATCCACCTACCTTCTATAGAGACCTACCTTCTGTATCCACCTACCTTATATAGATACCTACCTTCTGTATCCACCTACCTTCTATAGAGACCTACCTTCTATAGAGACCTACCTTCTATAGAGACCTACCTTCTATAGAGACCTACCTTCTATAGAGACCTACCTTCTGTATCCACCTACCTTCTATAGAGACCTACCTTCTGTATCCACCTACCTTATATAGAGACCTACCTTCTGTATCCACCTACCTTATATAGAGACCTACCTTCTGTATCCACCTACCTTATATAGAGACCTACCTTCTATAGAGACCTACCTTCTGTATCCACCTACCTTATATAGAGACCTACCTTCTATAGAGACCTACCTTCTGTATCCACCTACCTTCTATAGAGACCTACCTTCTCCACCTACCTTATATAGAGACCTACCTTCTGTATCCACCTACCTTATATAGAGACCTACCTTCTGTATCCTACCTAATATAGAGACCTACCTTCTGTATCCACCTACCTTCTATAGAGACCGGCCTTCTGTATCCACCTACCTTCTGTATCCACCTACCTTATATAGAGACCTACCTTCTGTATCCACCTACCTTCTGTATCCACCTACCTTCTATAGAGACCTACCTTCTGTATCCACCTACCTTGCTTGTACCTGAGTTAGTGTTAGCTAGGCACCCATATTTAGATATATTTATAGTTCTATATTAGGTACTTCTACAGGGAGTGCAGAATTATTAGGCAAGTTGTATTTTTGAGGATTAATTTTATTATTGAACAACAACCATGTTCTCAATGAACCCAAAAAACTCATTAATATCAAAGCTGAATATTTTTGGAAGTAGTTTTTAGTTTGTTTTTAGTTTTAGCTATGTTAGGGGGATATCTGTGTGTGCAGGTGACTATTACTGTGCATAATTATTAGGCAACTTAACAAAAAACAAATATATACCCATTTCAATTATTTATTATTACCAGTGAAACCAATATAACATCTCAACATTCACAAATATACATTTCTGACATTCAAAAACAAAACAAAAACAAATCAGTGACCAATATAGCCACCTTTCTTTGCAAGGACACTCAAAAGCCTGCCATCCATAGATTCTGTCAGTGTTTTGATCTGTTCACCATCAACATTGCGTGCAGCAGCAACCACAGCCTCCCAGACACTGTTCAGAGAGGTGTACTGTTTTCCCTCCTTGTAAATCTCACATTTGATGATGGACCACAGGTTCTCAATGGGGTTCAGATCAGGTGAACAAGGAGGCCATGTCATTAGATTTTCTTCTTTTATAACCTTTCTTGCCAGCCACACTGTGGAGTACTTGGACGCGTGTGATGGAGCATTGTCCTGCATGAAAATCATGTTTTTCTTGAAGGATGCAGACTTCTTCCTGTACCACTGCTTGAAGAAGGTGTCTTACAGGAACTGGCAGTAGGACTGGGAGTTGAGCTTGACTCCATCCTCAACCCGAAAAGGCCCCACAAGCTCATCTTTGATGATACCAGCCCAAACCAGTACTCCACCTCCACCTTGCTGGCGCCTGAGTCGGACTGGAGCTCTCTGCCCTTTACCAATCCAGCCACGGGCCCATCCATCTGGCCCATCAAGACTCACTCTCATTTCATCAGTCCATAAAACCTTAGAAAAATCAGTCTTGAGATATTTCTTGGCCCAGTCTTGACGTTTCAGCTTGTGTGTCTTGTTCAGTGGTGGTCGTCTTTCAGCCTTTCTTACCTTGGCCATGTCTCTGAGTATTGCACACCTTGTGCTTTTGGGCACTCCAGTGATGTTGCAGCTCTGAAATATGGCCAAACTGGTGGCAAGTGGCATCGTGGCAGCTGCACGCTTGACTTTTCTCAGTTCATGGGCAGTTATTTTGCGCCTTGGTTTTTCCACACGCTTCTTGCGACCCTGTTGACTATTTTGAATGAAACGCTTGATTGTTCGATGATCACGCTTCAGAAGCTTTGCAATTTTAAGAGTGCTGCATCCCTCTGCAAGATATCTCACTATTTTTGACTTTTCTGAGCCTGTCAAGTCCTTCTTTTGACCCATTTTGCCAAAGGAAAGGAAGTTGCCTAATAATTATGCACACCTGATATAGGGTGTTGATGTCATTAGACCACACCCCTTCTCATTACAGAGATGCACATCACCTAATATGCTTAATTGGTAGTAGGCTTTCGAGCCTATACAGCTTGGAGTAAGACAACATGCATAAAGAGGATGATGTGGTCAAAATACTCATTTGCCTAATAATTCTGCACTCCCTGTATTCCATTTAGGCATTGTTTGTAATTAAGCTGAATGTTTATACCAGGGGTAGGCCATCTACGGCACTAGTGCCATGCACGGCACTCAAGGCTGCTAGAGCCAAACAGGCTCTGGCCTATCAGGAGTCCCAGTAAAACTTCAAATATCTAATACGAAAAGATGGTGAAGGACAATCCTCAATTTAAGCATTGCAGCACATCTCGGCTCACTTCCTCCAAGCACTTGTGAATGGGAATCCACACCGTAGTAGAGAAGCCAACCATACTGCTAGATATACACCGATATTGTGGATCAAACCAAGTGTTTATCTGAGTATCTGCTCCTTTCCAAATTGTTAAAATAAATGCGTGCATGCTCTGAAGTAAATCACACTGAGACACAGGTATCAGGTTAATGAAAAACTTTGGAATGTTTACTCGGGGAGTAAAGCCCCCTATAAAGGCAAAAATGTAGATAACAGAGAGAATACATCTTTAATTGGTTAGGTGTTAAGTGTCTTATCTAATGCACATCCTACGAGGCGTGATGTCACCATCATCCTGGGATTTTACTCCGGATGTAGGCGCCATCTTGTTACACGAGGTAGTTAATCGGTGGGAGGGGGTGCTCTAGCAGCTATTTTGAGTAGATATTGAATACAGGTATACACAGTAAATAGACATTTTACTATCACTAATTTACATTCATAACACAGAAATGAAGAATAACCCTCCCCTTATACAAATAATACAAACAGCCCACACACAAACATACACACAATCTGCACAAACGTAAACCGCTAACAATCCACATACATGCACACAACCCCACATGCAGCCTCTCACATTCAATACCCCAAACAGCCCACACACACTACCAAACACGCAATGTGACATATCCATCCACACACAATTCCACAAGCAGCCCTCATACACAGCCCACATTCATATGCATCGTACACAATACCATAAACTACTAATGAACATATACAATATAATAGCTTATATACGCACAAATACAATGATGCAAAGCAACTGCAGTAAAAATAACACGCAGAATACAGCAGCATACACACCTCAATTTAAAAAAATAGGACCGGCATGCCACGGGACTTCACAATCCTATATCGGCACAGTGCTGCTAAAAGGTTGCCTACCCCTGGTCTATACGGTGCCCTATGCTTATGTTTTCCTAATATTCCATTTTGTCATTATTTGAACTTGGGCTAAGTGTGTATATTTTGATCATCATCTTTATTCTTTTGCTTTTGGAAGTGCTTGCAACCAGCAAAATTAGTGAGTGTAGGGTACACTCTAGGCAATGTTATCACACATTAAGGCTTTTTAAATCAGAATAAGCTGTCTGTAAGCTTACCTTCTTTTTCAGTCTGATTTATTTATTTTTTTATATTGGTTGGCAAACGAACCTACTGTTTCTGATAACAGACTAACAGATGTTTTCCCATAATGTACGGTGTCGATACAATTCAATATTTTTCTCTGACAGTTGGCAGGTTGTGAGGAAATCTAAAGACAAAACTTGAACCTCGCACTTGCTTTCACGAGGGACCATTCATTATCTGTGCTGTAGAGGGGTCGGATAACGCAGACCTGAAGGAATTGACTTGTTGGTATGCAAAGCCACTGTGTCAGGTAGAGTAAAGTTTATTATTAATTTTCTGCCTAGTTAGGACTTGTTATGTAATGTTGCAACTATATTATACCAAGTGATGTGAGCAGTATGACCGCAATATAATTTGAGTGTTTTGTAAAGATAAAATCTTTATAAATTACTCCTAATAATTGGATGTACCCTGAAATCAAAAGATGTGACACAGTATGGACTATTTTGTTTTATCTAGAAGCCTTAAGTTGACAAAATAATGTTTTGTCCATTACCACAGTCAAATAGAAACTTGTAAAGCCATCACTATGTGACTGTTGACATCAATGGCATTATCTGCCACTGTAAGGGTTTATTCACTGAACACTGAAAGTTAGTGAATTGAAAACTGGATTGTAAAAATAGCCAAGCAGTGAGTGTAGCCAAATTGGATTATTTTTACAATTCTATTTTTAATTCACTACAGTTGTGCTTTCAATTAATAATTGTAATATGAAGAAGTCTGTATAGTTTGAGTGTACATACTCTGTCGTGGTGCCATCTCATGGGATTTTCATAGGGCTTGATTTTTTTATTTTTTTTGTACACCTGCAATAATTAAATGGCTGCAACAATCTCTGGTAAGCGATATTTTAGAGAGAAAATGGCGGTGCTGTTGAATGCAGGTCTTTATGTAAGTATAGACTAACTTAATTTACCAGCCCCGAAGTTTAAATTCTTTACAAAGAGGACTTCTTTATAGTGATTTGCTTTTTGTTTTTTCCAACAATGCAATGTAACCTATCAACAACTGGTGATTATGGGGATAAAATAATACGCAGGTTCAGAGCTTTAGAAAATCGATAAATCAGTAATAAATCCTTCAAAAAAACAATCTACATAACAATAATAAACATTATAATAATAATAAAATGGATGGTAAACGTGTATTTTAGCGTATTTTATTATTTGCCGTTTCATTCAGGTGTGATTTTAGGCAAAACAACTAAATCCTATAGTATTTGTCTTACCTTGAATGTGGAGGTAAAAGTGTATTTTAGCGTATTTTATTATTTGGCGTTAGTTATTTTGCTTATTGTGCCACTTAATCACTCCTGAACGAAACGGCAAATAATAAAATACGCTAAAATACACTTTTACCAACTGGATAAAACTCACCTTTTATTTAGAGCTGTCCCAGCCTTCATTAGGCAGCTGCTTCACCCACTGTGATATAATATAATAACTGATGATCTCCAGCCCAGGGCAAGTGCTGCTCTCTGCCAGTTAGATGCTTCTCAAAGAGAAGCGTTATCCCGTTGCTTCTCTCTGAAGAAAATTGTCTAGCGTACGGCATTATGCTCGGCGTGGTGACCCTGAAAGTGAATACTATAACTTTTATGGTCTTAAATAGCAAATACATCTGCTAGTTCTCTTGGTGACACCCACTTCTCTAACAAATGTAAACATTGTCATTTGTGACAGTTGCTGGGTCTTTGCACCAAAACCACTACATTAGAATCTACTGATTTTGCTTCCTAGAGTGCCTCTTTAAATCTTGTCATTTCCTTGGCATATATGAAGTAGCACATCTTATTCAAGCTGTAATACACTGATAGTCCATGTTCATCTCTCCAGATCATTTACTCTGCATCTCGTACAATGCTTGGCATGCTGACTGAGCATCATGGGAAGTGCAGTATTCCACAGCTGCAGAGTCAAGGTTATCCACCGCTAACGTGGTATAAAATACAATCAGGGTTGTTAACGCCTTTTTAATTATTCTCTACAGGATTATATGCTATTTAAACAAACTGCACTGTGCTCTCCAATGCCCCAAAAAGGTATGTTCTGCTGCTTCTTCGTTAAACCACTGCGTAAAGATAATGCTTCCTAGCATTCTCTGAAGCAGAGCACACGTTTAATTACTTGCAATCAAAATCAGGCACATTAACGATGCCACTATCGTTTAAAGTTGCAAGTGTGGTTTTAGAGAGATGTATTTATTCATCAATAAAATATAAATTAAACAAAAATGAGTGTATATTTACTGTTCACCTAAAAGTGAAAACTATAATCTTTGATCCTCAGTAAAATCCGTATATGCTTCATGCCTGCAGGGTCTATCTGATATTTAAGGGAAAACTTATTTTCCGAGATCTTGCATTACTTGTAAACCTGATTTAATTTGTGTTTTAATATACACATTTATTTTCTATATAAGCTGCACATAGTTACCAAATATTACTTTTTTTTTTTTTCTCCAAGTCAGATTTGTCTACTAGATTAATGTGTCCCTGAACAGGTAGTAAATTCTTGTTTCGAACTTAGCATTCTCTTGGTTGGAACGGAAAATCGATCTCTCTGCTGAATTGTGTAGCTTCATTATAACTCTGCTAATTACATAGGCAAAATCTATCACACACAGATTATTTGTGCTGATAGGATTTGTTACTTTGTCATGGGCCTGAAAAGAAATTGCCGTCAGATTTGTCTGTGATCTCTTTATACAGATGTGTGCAATGTCCTTATGTTGTTCATGGACCATTTGGCGTGCATTATAATCAGGCTAAGACTCCCTAAATTTTGAACCTTCTATTACCTAGGAACGAAAAGGGAACAGAACTGCACCACTGGTTCCTATTTGCGCATGCAGATGTTTATTTACTGAACTCCCAGGTGCAGCAAATTGATATCCAAACCTTAAAATTCTGAATTAAACATCCAAGCTGTGGCTATCGCAGTATTGGATCATGTTTCCAAATTTGTTACCATTCGGATTTCATTTGAGAGTTAAGTAAATATTCCACGTATGTTTGTGGCTCCAGATTTGTTACCATGGATGGGAAAAATGGTCCACCTATGTGTTCATTGGTTTTTAAAATGGCTCTGTTGTATTTGTTTTATCAAAGTCCTCCCCACCCCCCCTTCAAAAAAACCTGTCTGCAGATTGTGTTTAGTGTTTTTGCTATTTGTTTTTCTTAATTTTTTTTCTGCAGTGTTTTAAGAAATTAATTTAACCATTTCCAGATAACCTGATTTTAAGGGTGACAGGAAAGCTACAGACTTGAGCTATATATATAATGTCCTCATCTTTCATCCAAATGAAATTATGGGAGCTTATTAGTTAAGCAGTGAAAATCCTAAATCAATTTTTGCTGCTGACATAACATACTTTCAGCTGCTTTTTTATTTTTACTTTTTTTTTGTAAATCGTAATTTTTAATTTCCTGCGCCTGCTTGTATCTCATGTTTGTGATTCCTTGGTGTAAAATTGTCCATATGTGTATTAAAGACAAGGAGTTTAATTACGTGTATATATCATATAATGTGGTTTTAAGATGTACACAGTTAATGAGCATGTCTTTCTTAAACTTTACACAATATGATTTTATTCACTCTTTGTACAGCACAGTCGAGGGTTGCAAATCCCCCAGCAGAAGGTGACCGTTTCATTTTCTAATTTGCTGTTTAATACAGATCGGGGTGGAATTATTTTTTTATTTTTCATAAGCAGAAGGAAAAGCTATGATTGGCAGGTTCTCGGGCAACAAGATATTTATTGCTTAGATAATAAGAATCTAAAGGTTTTTTTTATTTTAGTTTTTTTTTTCCTCATTTTCTGAAAACGCAGGTGGAATAATTCCGTTTTTATCTCTTGCATCAATATATTGTAAAAAATGTAATTACTACACTATATGCCTTGTATGTGTGAGGATAGTGGAAATTGCACTTTTCACCCGAGAGTCTTCTTTTTATAAAGTCTTCAGGTCATGCGTCTGTTTTTATATATAATCTTGTTTTAATCCTGCAGCTTCTGGCTGTTACCCCTTTCTTACAAGTTGCATAACTTATGTATGTTGTGTTATTTATTACCACTGCTGACTATTTTGGGTTGGTTGTTTATGTAACTCTGCTCTGATACATTATCATGACATGGGTTGTCTATTTGGATTTTTACCCATACTATGTTTATAACTACTGTTATAAAATTAAGGTGATGCTCTTTAATGCAATGCCATTTGTTCTGATTTTACATCTAGTAAAAATTGTGTTGTGATCGTTTGGATTTATGTTGTTAGTGTATTGAGATACATCACCAGTATGGACTGGGATACAATGGTCACAGAGGGTGCCACAAGAGGCTACAGTGGACATGATGGCAACAAGGCTTGTTGAGTGGAGGGCCACTATGGGAAAAGTTGTTTGAGCATCGAAGGCCTACACGTCCAACTGTCACTTGAACCAATTTTTGGCCCTGGAAACTGACCATATAATTTTCCACTCCTCCATAACGTTTTCCATTATTTTACCATACCTAAATGTACAGGTTTAGACAAGGAAGAGTTTAGCTTAGCCTGTGTTGTAGGCTTGTTCTATCCATTTGAATATTGTGTGCTGTAGGTTAAACGCCATCAGAGAAGGTGGCATATACGGTCCATTCTATGTTCCACATTCCACATCAGTAGCTTGACAAATAACTTTGATGGTGGTGTCCCTGGTCTTGAAACCTGCCACATGATATGCAGGATGTGAGCTTGATGTCTATTAGTTTCTGGTCCGTTCCCAGATTGACTCAAATTTACATTGACCTTGGCAGGTGAACTTACACATGCTGTACAGTGGTTCTAAAAGTCACTGTTAGTTAAAGGGACACTATAGACACCAAAACAGCTTCAGCTTAATGAAGCAGTTTTGAGTATAGATCATGCCCATGCCATCCTCACTGCACAATTCTTTGCCATATTGCCATGCAAAAAAGGAAGTGTAAACATTAAATCTCTCTTTACAGGAAGTGTTTAGGAAGGCTGTGTAAGTCACATGTAGGGAGGTGTGGCTAGGGCTGTATAAACAAAGCAATTTAACTCCTTAATGGCAGAGAATTGAGCAGTGAGACTGCAGGGCCATGATCTATACACCAAAACTGCTTAATTAAGCTAAAGTTGTTGTTTTTGTGATTATAGTGTCCCTTTAACCCCTTAAGGACCAAACTTCTGGAATAAAAGGGAATCATGACATGTCACACATGTCATGTGCCCTTAAGGGGTTAAAG